AAATAAAATAAAATGGTTAGTACCAACTAATGAAAAGAAAAAACTTCTATCTATCAAGGTATAAATCCTAACCTTATGCTTTTTAGTTCCATGCTTTGTTTAAAAAAATTAACCTAACCGCATGATTACTAGTTCGCATACATTTATTCAGAAAAAATAAAAATCAAATAAATTAAAAAAGACAAAAAGTTAGAACTTATTACTCATTTGTGTACACCTACAGACAGAGGTTCAGTACTGTCTTAGATCAAGAGAATTTCTAGGGTTTATTATATGCAGGGTTTCAGCTCTAAGAGTAAAGGTACCTGAATTGTCCTTGTTGGTGCCCCTTTGGGCTGCTAACCCACAATCCTAGTCCATCATAGACTAAAGTGGATCGAGTTCAATTCGAGGGGATACACTTCTCTATGCCTGACACAGAGAATAAATTCTCACGAAGACATAGAGCATATGAACCCCGAAAGCTACTTGATAGGTTTGACACAGAGAATAAATTCTCACGAAGACGTCACTTTCACTCCTACTTAAAAGGGACAAGCTTGATTATAAAGCTTATGTATGCAATGCAAATGATGTATGTGAGGAGAAATGTTCAAACCTCTGACAAATAAATAATAAAATTTAATCAAAATAAAAACAATAATAAAAAAATAATAAGTATATATAAAATTTTGAAAAGAAATAATTATAAATTAAATATATAAAATTTTAATTTCTAATTAATAGAGATAATTTATAATTGATTTTAAAGTTGGACCGGTCCCCAGCGGAGTCGTCAAGCTGTCGTAACCGGTTTTCGCCCGGGCATGAAATTTTTACTTGGCGAGAAAAGTGAGGTGAATAAATGATTTTTTTAAAATGTTTTGGGAGTCGCCATCGGCCGTTTGGGTCAGGTAGGTCGAATATCTAAAAATTATATTTTAAAAGAGTTTTTTAAGAAAGCATCAGTTAAAAGATAAATGGTATGCGTTTTAATAAAAAAATTGTTCTTTTTAATAATAAAAAGGGATTCGTGGTCGATTACGTTTGTGGAAGGATTAACACCCCCACAACGCCCAAAATTGGTACTCATTAATTATAAATTGTCTCTATTATTAGAAATTTAAAATTTCGAAGATATATTTAATTCAATATCTTTTTTATTTCAAATTTATTACTATAATTTTAAGAAAAAATTATATATATATAAACAAGATATTTACTTATTTAGAAATATCAGAAAAGGACTTCTATGTGCTTTAAGATAACCATTTTCTTTGATATTAAAAAATGAATAAATATTAATAAAAATATGATGAGTTTTCCTAATAAAATCATTTAAAAATAATTTAAAAATTAAACATATATATATATATATATATATATATATATAAGCATGATATTTATTTATTTTTAAAATACTAAAATAGGACATCTAGTTATTTTAAGACCGCCCTTTTCTTAATATAAAAAAATAAATACATATTATTATTTCATCAAATTATGAAATTAGTCAAGTTATACTTATGAATATTATATATATTCATAGGACTAAAATGAAATGAACAAAAAATAAAGTGAAACAGTTAAAAGATTAAAATTAAAGTATTGAAAAATATAAAGCAAAAATAATTAAAAAAATAAAAAAACTAAAGTAATGAAATTAAATAACTGAAATTAAATAAATAAAAAGTAAATGACATAAATTAAAATATAAGGTAAAGGACTAAAATATAAGATAAAAATATAAAGTAACGAACTAAAATAAAAATATCAGAATATAATGCCCAAAATAAAATAGTTCAAAAGATTAAAATAGATAATTAATATGACTAAAATATAATTAAGTAAAGCAAAGAGATCAAAATAAAAGAAAATAAAAATATAGCAGCTAATTTCGAAATAATAAAAAAAGAAATTAGGAACTGAAGTGTAAATATGCACATAAATTAGAAGATTATTTCATGATTTTTCTTATTTTAAGTGAATAAAACAATACTCCTAAAACCCAGGGACCTTATGCCTTATTTACCCAAAACTTGTATAAACTAAAAACCCATTTTCTTCCTCTCTTCCTCACGTACCAGACCACACTTCTCTCCCTATATTTTTACTAGGAAAAACAAGAAAATAAAGAAGAAAACATGTACTAAAAAAATAAACCTTTAGAAATGTTTCTTGTTTTTTGTTATTATATTTCGAATAAATGGGAAAAGTTACAAATTTTTTTCTTGAAAAAACATACACGGGGCTTTCTTATAATCTTTCTTTGGGTTTTTATAACCCAAAATGTTACAAGATTTTTCCAATGTAAAATATCTTTTTTGATTTGTTTGTTGTATGTATGTGATTTGTTGATGAAGATGCTAGGATGTGGAGTATTGGTGGCCGTAGGTGTGGCGGCTGAGCTAGAACGAGGAGGTACAGCTGGTGAGGTGCTGGTAGCTACTGAAATACTGTTGTGGTAGAGCTGCCGACGTGGAGGGAAAATTGGTGTTCCTCTAAAAGCTGCTAGAATCGTCGGGTGGAGTTGTAACGTGGAGGGGGCTGTTGAAATTGGGAGGTAAAAATGGTGATTACACAAAGCAGTCAAAAAACCCTGCGCGATCCCCGATATCACATCTCCATCCTCCAGAAGCCCTAGGTGCATAGCAACATCCTCAAGTGTAATCGTGCACTCTCCGCACGGAAGATGGAATGTGTGGGTCTCCGGCCTCCACCGCTCTACTAAGGCAGAAATAATGTCTGGTTCTATCTTACAGTGATCATGATATCTACCTATGTAACCGAATTCAGCCTCTACTAAATACGGTAAGACACTGCTAGATATCACTAACTTAAGATTCCTAATAAATGGATCTAATACACGGCCCTTCTCCTAAAATTAAATAATTACAAAAATTAATTCTTAATATAATAATCATGCATTAAATAAATCAACAAATAATTACTAATAATTTAAATTAAATTAAAACGTTAAAATGTTACCGTATCAACAAAGTGTCGAGATATATGATTTACATCCAAGCGAAGTAGACTGTCTTCCATTTTATATCTACAAAAAAATAATTAAAAAAATATTAAATAAATTAAATATTTAAATAAATTAAATACAAAATATTAAAAATATAATAAAATATACCTTAGACAGATATTATAAGAGTATTTGAAAGAAGTTGAGAGAATTTGATGTGATGAAAATGATTGAGGATGGGTGTATTTATAGGGAGCGATTGGGGTGTGAAACGTCGGGGTAAGTGAGAAATTATACCCAAGGCGTGCCGTAGGATGGCGCCGCAGGGGACGCGCCTTACTGACGAGTGACAGATTCTGGGGTAAAGCGCGACCCCTGCACCGTGCTATACCCCTGTACACACGTATATATCATGTCAGCATAAGACGCGCTGCAAGAGGCGCGCTTTACCCTACGTGATATATTCAAGAAAATCGCCAATGTTTTAATCCCAAATAAATAAACAAAATCGACGTTTGAACAAAAATAAATAAGCGAACAAATCGTGGTTCTAAAACCTATATAATTACGCGCCTCTCTCCCGTCTTCCCACCTAAATAAGCGAACAAGTCTTCGCAGGTGATTATAATCTTCTACTTCGCGTTGTCGAAACACATTTTCTTTTATTTTTTTTATTCATTTTTGCTCGCTGAGAAGATGGAATGAAGGCAGTGGTTTATTTCATCACCGCGTCGCAAGTTTCTTCTTTTGTTTGTGCTTTATATAATATTATCAAGGCTTTCTTGCGTTCTTTAACAAAGTAAATGGTGCATTCATCATTTTGTTGATTTGGTTTTTATTTCTTTCAATGTTTGCTCTTTGGCGGCGTTTTCCCTCGAAGCTTCCTGCATTTCTCCAGCGCCGTTTCTGATCGCGTTTTGTTTCTTCTTTTTCACTCGTCGTTTGATTTCGAGGTTTCTAAAGTAGGTGAGGTTTTATGGCTTTTTTTTTAGCACACGATGTCATTTCGTTGACTTGACTTTTCTTCGTTTCTCGATTACTTGCGCTTTATTAATAAGAAAATCTCTTCTTTCTAGAGGATTTCTCCGTTTCGTTGCTCTCTACTCTGTTTTCTTCAAGATTCTGTCGATTCATTTTGTCAAAATCAAGCTCTTAATTTTCTGGTTAGTTCCGTCGATTTTTCTATACACACACACACATATATATATCAGTATATGTGTATGTATGCACATATACTTCTTTTTTCATGCTAGTTACATTATTGGTTAGTTCATTTTTTCCCTCCTGACAATGCACTTCCAATTTGTCTACCTCTTCTAGTTTTATTTGCTTTGGCTGATGTTATATTCTGGTATTCTTTTTGTTTTCAAGTTTGAGATTTTTTTTAATTAAGTAAATTACAATTGTATGTGCATTTTCATCCTCCCCACCAAATATATAAACGATTCAAAACCAGGTGCCCATTAATTATCCGGTAGTTGAATCTTTGGATTGTCTGCCGTCTATTAATTATATGTTATTGGTAGTTTTGATGCTGATTGATGGCAACTTGAATGAATGCCTGTTGTTTCAGTTTTTTGTTTTCGGTTTCATGTAAATTCAGGTTTTGGTGCCTTTTGCATGCTTGATTTGAGGATGATGTAGGTATTTGTTTTTATCTTCCTTTTCCCCATACACTTACAGTTTGAGTTATTGAGGGTGGTGTGTTCCTGCAATTTTGATCTTTTTTTTATATATCCTTTCATCCTTTGTTCCTTTAGGTGTTGTAATTAGGTGATAATGTTCTATTAGAGTTTAAAATAATACTATTCAATGGCAACAATTTGCCTTGAATTATCATAATCAGGTTGTACGGTAGATACATTATCATAATATTTTAGAAGTTCATGTAAAACTGCAGCCTAGATGCTTAAAAAAAGAAGAAAACGACACAAGACAGTGTTAAATGTTAGTGTCCAAAACTTTCGTTCTTGCAAATTAACTGTCTGGTAAGAAAAAGACTGAACTTTAAAATGAATCTGAGGCCGTGAATGGTCATAGAAAGTAGAATTTAATATATTTACCCGTGATGATTTATGCTTTTTTATAGAAAATTCTCATGCTTATAAATTCTCTTTCATTGCAAGTTGTGTGTCAGTTGTTGCCTGCCTGTTCTGACTGATAAGATGTTTCCCTTCTTCCCAATTTGTTTAAGTTCAATCTGAGCGGTTGGTTTTCATTTCCGGGGCATCTTTGCTCGTTTTCATCTTCCAACTTATATGCAGTGCATATATTTGACACCGTTGGTGTCAAAAGATGTATGTTTAGTTTTCCTGTGCTTTTTCTGCCTCGAACCTTTTTTTTATAGTTAATTGTTTATATTTGTTTGGTAAGGCATGGTTTGCAATCCTTGCCTTCAAATCAAAGAATTTGTCAATTTTGTTTATTATTCATTTTCTATTATGACGGATGTTATTTTTGATCTGTACATTAATCATAGTTCTCCAATCAATTCCCTGCAGATACTGTCCACGTACGTAAGTTTTTAAGCAGAGTAATCAAAAGATATGAACAGGTTTGACTCTGATAGCTGGTTCTTTAAAAGGTATTGTGATCTTTAGCTAGATTTTGCCCATTTTAACACTCTTTCTGTATCAGTTTTCAGGGCCCTTATGCTTGATGGACTTCTCGCTGAACAGCAGTGACAAGAAAACTTTAAAGAAGTGGTTCTTCATTGATAAAAGGGTTGGCTAATTAGAATATCTGAGATTGAACATTAAGATTTGCTTTGTTGCTCGAGTGGAAAGTTTGCTAAGGAATCTGTTAGCTTATACGCTATAAGTAGTGATACATAGGTGGACCAAATGGACCTGAAACCCAATCCCACTGCTGCTGTTCTTGCTAATCCTGTAACGATAAGCAAGTCAAGATTAGTAGTACCTTCTGGTCTGTTGCCATGCTCACCCCCGACATTGGTGTTTTCTCCAAATCTATTAACTGTTCCCAGGAAAAAAGCTGGAATTCTTGATGTTCGTGCCAGCAGCTGGCTGGATGCTACGAAATCCTCATCCCCACGTCATAAAATAACCATGAATTACAACCATGAGCGTGTATCAGCTGATACGGATGTTGCATATCACACATGGATGGTATTGTTTCACTTTTACTTCTTTTCTCTGAGTTTTAACTTTGAAGCAAGTTGACGGGTTATTGATCTGCTCTATGTACTTTACTCTCTGGTTTTTACAGGAAAAGTATCCCTCTGCACTCACATATTTTGATCAAATTACAAATTTTGCAGAAGGCAAGAGGATAGCATTGTTTTTGGACTATGATGGGACGCTTTCACCTATTGTGGACAACCCAGATCTTGCCTTCATGTCAATTGATGTAAGAATGAATGGTTTGCCTTCATTTTTTTCCTTTTGTTCTCTACTTATTAGTAGACTAACCAAAGGCTTTTATTTAGATGCGAGCTGCTGTAGCAAAAGTGGCTAAAGACTTCCCGACAGCAATAATTAGTGGAAGAAGCCGTGACAAGGTGATTTGAGGATCAAGTTCATTAATAACTTAACATCTTCCTTTGCACTTTTTGATGCCTCATTATTGCGTTTTAATTTTAACCGTATATTGCTCCATGCCCTTGTTTATTCAGGTATACGAGTTTGTTGGACTAACAGATCTCTATTACGCCGGTAGTCATGGAATGGATATCATGGTTCCTGTTAGGCAATCTTCTGATGATTCTCCTAACTGCATTAGATCTACTGATAAGCAGGTTTGGGCTACAAATGTTCTATCCTTTTACATCATTGCCTGTGTTTCCCTGTATTCTTTCTTAAGTTGTTTCTTAATCACATTTCTCTTTAATGCATAGGGCAAAGAAGGAAACTTGTTCCAGCCTGCTAGCGAATTTCTACCGACGATCGAGGAGGTATGTAAATGTCTTCACTGTGCCATAGTTAAAGCCCTCGACTTTTTCATATCTGTTCTAATGTCGAGCTCTCTTTCTTCGCAGGTTTTTAACTCACTTGTCAAAAGCACCAAAGAAATAAAAGGAGCGAAAGTTGAAAACAACAAGTTCTGTGTCTCTGTCCATTACCGAAATGTAGATGAGAAGGTAGATACTTTGCTCGGTATAAGAAGCCTGTATCTTTTGGTGACGATTCTCAATAGCGTCTACATAATTTATTTATTTCTGGGAACCTTTTTTTGTTCGCTCAGAACTGGAAAACTGTTAAACAATGCGTTCATGATGTCATCCGAAACTACCCTCGTCTACGATTGAGTCGTGGCCGGAAGGTGATCTTTAAAGACAATCTGATTCTCTTATCATTTTCACTGAATTTTTGCTCGTGACTTTTTCTGCATGGATGTTGTGAATTCGAGTTGTGTCCCTTTTGTAATATTATTCATTCATTTACATAATTAGGTTTTAGAGGTTCGGCCTGATATCGAATGGGACAAGGGGAAAGCTGTTACATTTCTACTTGAATCACTTGGTATGTTTCCTAGACTCTCTTCTTGGTCGTGTCATGAGGCGTGTTTTTTTATCCATAATAATTGTAAAAAGAAAATGGTTCAGGGCTCAGCGATCATGACGATGTGCTTGCCATCTACGTCGGTGATGACCGCACAGATGAAGATGCTTTTAAGGTTCTGAGAGATGGAAACTGCGGAAAAGGCATCTTAGTATCATCCGTGCCCAAGGAGAGTAATGCATCTTTCTCCCTAAGGGACCCTCTAGAGGTACATAAAAAAGGATGGGCAGACGTGGAATCCACTCATTTCTCTTTTTCTTGCTTGTGTTACATGACTCACAGTTGTTGCATTTGATCCAGGTCATGGAGTTTCTTAAATCACTGGTGACGTGGAAGAAGAAGACGAGCTCTCTGAATACAGCAAGTAAAGTAGAGAAGGAAAATACACTGATACAAACATAGACCATGTTTTTACTATATTATAGTTAACACATAGAGGCTCAATGCTTCTTGTCTTAACTGTATATTCCTCTGCTTCAGTTATCTTTTCTCACTTCTAGGTGCTAGCCAAGGATTAGATGCCCTTCCCCATGGAGAACACAGTATTTTTTTATATGTATTTACAAACTCCTCTGGGATTTTGTTTCCTTGCAATTTTCTCCTATTTCTTCTAGCAGATTTAATTGAATGGAAATACTCACCTTATTTTAGGTTGAAAAAAGGCTTTGTGTTTATACATACATGCATATAATACTCAATTTGTTTGAGGTGAGCTTCAGCTTTAACTCTATAGTCCTCTGTCCAGCATCATATGTCTAACTCTCTCCACATCCTCCCACCTACCTGCGTTGCTATAAATCTTCATCAATAGCTTGAAATTATGTCGGTTATCCGGCTCCAGCTCAAAAAAATTTCTACCTGCAATCTCTCCAGTCTCTATATTTCCATGAACTGAACAAGCATACAGCAATGCTCCCCACACAGTTGGCCCTGCCTCGAACTCCATTCTTTCCACTATCAAGTTGAAAGCCTCATATATCAGCCCTGATCTACCATGCAAGCATACTGTTCCATTCTCGGATCGATCCGGTACTTCTTTCTCATTAACCTAAACAGCCGATCTGCATCCTTAACCAAACCTAAATGAGTACAAGCTGATAGTATTGCCACAAATGTGATGCTATCGGGTGAAGTACCACTTTCATCATCTGTTCAAAGTACAGTAGAGCTTCTGGGCGTTTACTATGACCAGAGATAATCGAATTCCACGACACGACATCCCGCTCAGGCATTCGGTGAAACAACCAACTTGCCCCATCTAACTCACCAAGACTGGAATACACCATAATTAAAGCATTAACAACGGATATATTCCACTCGATTCCCCGCCTGAGAACCCACCCGTGTATCTGTGCCGCGATCTTCAATGACGAAAAACTAGACAGAATTGTGGATATGGCAACAGGGTCAGGCACAAATCCCTCTTGAATCATCCCACGGAATAACTGCAATGCCTTGACCGATAACCCGTGACGAATGTAACCCGTCAACATAGAATTCCAAGAAATGTTATCCTTACAAGCAATGTTATCAAAAAACTGCCTAGCCTTAACAATGTCTCCACATTTTGCGTACATATCAATAAGAGCATTAAGAAATAAGAACAAACCCATCATTTCCAAAGCCTTTGCGCACCGTATTGTGAAATTAACAAAACCTACAAAAGTAAAAAGAATTAAAATGTAAATAAATTTAAAAAAAGGTGAGTGAACAAGTTGAAATCCAAATCCCAGGGAAATAAGAATGGTATGCTAAATTCTAAACTAATCTTACTAGCGGTTTCAAGTCAGCAGAACTCAGGTTTAAACAATTCACACCAAACAAAACGTGGTCAGTTCGATACTGGACCCGGGATAGACCGAGGGGTTGTCCGGGTTAAAAATTTTAACTTCTCATATAATTTAGATAATTTTTTTATATTTTCTATTTATGTACACGACCCGGTATATGTACACTTTAAATACTTTCGCATCATCTCCATCGGACATATTTATGTTGATATGTGCAAACTCAAAGAAGGTTTGCAAATTAACAGGAAACTACATTTTTCCCTTACCCACATATGAAAGAAAAATAACACCACGTCCTTAAGTCAACCCATAAAGGAGGGCCCTTTCTGGGGGGGGGGAGTGGTGAAGAATCGGTCGCTTTTAAAGATTCAACATGTCCAAGCCTGACACAATTCGAAATGCAACATGTTCATCACTTCGACAATCGAAATACAATACCTGATGGGCCATCCCTGTTGTTAATGATTCCCAAGTGTTGAGTCTGGACGCTGCCTATAAAACAGCAACAAGAAACCAATTGTTTAAAACGATGAATAAATCAAAACCGTGTAATGAATTAGTATTGATTTTGAATTGAAAAGGGGAAGAGGTGGAAGAGAATCGGAACCTGGGCAACGAAGGAGGACCTGGAGGATGAAATGAAAGAAGAAAGCAAAGCCACGCGCCTCCACATCTCCTTTGCAGGGCCGGCCTAATACATGTGTCAGATGGGTCTTAGCCCAGTACAGCATGTTTGAGGGATGCATCAGTTTTTTAGTGCTTATAGTGTGTATATATATATTTGGCCTAAAAAAATTAGCCCAAAACACATGATCGGTCGATGGAAGGCTTAGGGTAAGCGACGAAGATCCAAAAAATTAATTCTTTCTTGGAAGTGCAAACGTCAGACGGTGTTTAATCAATTCTCCCTTCGAAAATCCAAAAAAATTAATGGAAGTTGGATGGTTTCTCAGTGCAGACGGTGCATAATCATCGATGGAAGATCGATAATCTTTTGCTTCTCCCTTCGAAAATCCAAACAACACCCAACGGTCAAGAACGAACAGGAAATAGATTGATGAAAGATCAATGGTCTTCTACTTCTCCCTTCGAAAATCCAAACAACACCCAATGATCACTCGGTCTTAACCTTGATTATCGTAAAATAATAGAAGTTTTTGCTTTAAAAAATGTACGAATACATCGTTTTAGGTGATATTTGTAGCCTTGTAGGTTTTGATTTGTATTAGTATTGATATTATTTGACTATAATTTTTATTACATTGTTGTTTTAAAAAAAATATTTATGTTTTGTCTATTATACGGTACAAGTATAGGGACATAAAATTATTATCTCTATTAAAAATATTAAAACTCATTAGACCGGCCTACTCCGTTGGACTTGTCTAGCATTTTAGCTCTTGCGCTCGTTTTTTGTTTTTTTTTTTTGGGTTTTCAGTTATAAGTCGGGGAATGAAGCTGAGTTGGATTTTGTTTCTATTATGGTGACATTACGTCGAACAAGTAACGTGCTCCATGTCAGATGTGTTGTGTCCGTATGTCGAGTGTTTCCTACAGAAACGCAGAGCAGCAATGCAAGGAGACTGTCAGATTGTGGGCAGTGACGTGTAGTAGTCCATTGTGGGCAGTTTGATTGAAATGGGGCCAGCTTACTTTTTCCTTTACAGGGATGAAGGATCCGAGATTCGGATGTGCTACCTTCTAAAGTCCAAATATAACTGAACTTCATCATAAATTTAATCACATTTTACAACTAACAATTCATATAATTATAATGTTTTAAAGACTAAATTGTCATATATATATAACCATTCACAATAGAAGAGACAACTTTGTTTCAATGTTATCATTCGTTAGGGAAGGTGATTAGAGCAACGTCGACAATGACCGACAACATTACAAGTTAAAAAAGACGTTGAGAGAATTTGCGAGTCAAATTAATATTTTATTTAAATTTTAACAGTCAATAAGAAATTATTTATTTTTAATAATATACCACATCATCAATATAAGGGAAGTTAATAAATGCACAAATTAGGGAAACAGAAATGGTGCCTGAAACATCAGTGCTGTTTATGATCCTTCACTCAGATCTACTTAATTAGTCAACAACATTATTTTTATATATGCTACTAATGCATACACAGATGCATTTCTATCCTAATTTTTTAACATGGTAAATCTGAGAAAGGATGTATGAAAAGGCAAGATGGCTAAACTGTGAATAAAATAAGATGCAAAGAGATCCAAAATTTAATTTACCAGTACCATTTAGGCCAACACGAACTACAACGCATACACATTGAAGATGATGGAAGAATTAATAAGAAGGTTCTTTCCAATCTATTTTCTTGCAATCCAGAAGCTCAAATATTAGAACAATAACAAAACTTGTTAGGTTATCAACCCTGGCCTAAAGCTGGAATTTAAGCTTAAGAAAAGCTTGAATAATTGAAATTGACAACAAACTTAAGGTGCAGTGGAATCATCCCTCCTCATCCAGAATAAAGTCTCTAGAAGCAGAAGTTCCAAGGTCCTCTAATAATATAACAAGGTTCTTCGCAACTTATTTTCCAGCAAAACTCTCACTTGAATAAGAACAAGAACAAAAATTGTTACCCTTCCAACCCTGGCCTGACCTGAAGCTGGAATTGAAGGGTAAGGAAAGCCTAGGAAAAAGTCGAATAACTGATATCAGCAGCAAATTGAAGGTGACGGTGAAATCATCGCGCCTCATCCAGAACTGGGTCCCTGGGACCAGCACTTCCAAGGTACGTTGATACGGTCTCACCAACAACTGAAGCATAGCTCTTCAACATAGAGGCACTGCGTGTCAACCACCCAGTCTCTTCCACTTCATTTACTTCCATCATGCTCTCTCTTTCTTCCTCAGCAAGTTTGTCAACCCACCTCTCTGCCATGAACATCTTGATGGCATCAACCCCTTGGTCTACTATTTCCTTAGGTGGAACAACAAGAGGATTTTGATCCACATTCAGTTTCGTCAGCTTGTCGAGCCGACCAAATGAATCAGGAAGAGCATTGATTTGGTTGTTACTTATATCAAGCTCTTTAAGATTGGTCAATTCGCCAAGTGACTCTGGAAGTTCTGTCAGATCAGAGAAATTGCACCTCACGTTGAGGACCTCAAGATTTGTCAATCTCCCAATTTCATCCGGAAGACCACGGAGTTCATTGAAGTGGGCATCCAGAAAATGCAAAGACCTCATCTTACAAATAGAAGTTGGCAGGGATCGGAGTTTGTTCAAATAAACTGAAAGCCTTTGTAGATTCTCCAATTCATCCCCAAGATTAGTTGGCAAGTACAAGAGGAGTTGAAGCTCACATCCAACTCTATCAAAGACCTGAATTGATGAAAGTCAAATTTTAGCAATGATAATGACGAAAAACAATTTGTTTTAAAATGATTAACTACAATTACCTGCAGTGACAAATGGAATCAGGTAAGGCATTCAGTTTATTTCCTGAGACATACAAGATTTTCAAGTTCTGAAGTAATCCAATTGAATCTGGCAGAGACTCCAGAAGATTCGAGGAAACGTTAAGCTCCTCGAGTTTTTGCAATCCAGCAAGCGAGTCAGGAATAACCTGTACCATCATACAGGTTAGTCAGATGCAAAGAGAAACTCATAAAAAGACTTGAGACCAAGGTTTAGTATGCCTATACAAGAACAAGTCAATTGCTTAACTTATCCCTTTTAATTACAGAACAGGAAAACAGAGACAAGACAAAAAAATATAGTCTAAATCAAGCTCAAAGTTGTATCTCTGATGTCCACTGACCAATTGTCAGAAAATAATAATGTAGGATTGTTTCCTAAGAATATTGAATCCACAACTTTGTTGATTATTTAAAATGGGAGATGAACTAAAGCAAATATCATTGGAAAGCAATATTGTTGTTAAGAGGTTAAGAGAGTATGAACAAATGGGCAATAATATAACAGGCAAACTGTTATGAACAGGACAAATATGGTTAGTTACGAACAGCAAGAAATGCCAGCTAAAAGGGCAGCTCAGCAACTGAGTCAGCAATCGGATTTGAAGGAGATTCGCGAGAAAGAAGGGAGCCAAAGACTAATTTTTTGAGAATAACAAAGTGGAGTATATATGTGGACACAGCACACAGGGTGTAATGTGTTTTTTTAATGCTAAAAGTTATCAACAATTTACTCCTGCAATCTCTATCTCCTCTTCTTCTATATTCAATTTTTTGGCAGTTTTGACTAAATTTTAGGATTATTCCTAGGAAACTGAAAATAGAAAAACTACTTATTGGTTCTTACCATTGAACAGTAAATAACTCTGTCGGCATCGTAAGCACTAACGGTTTCAAGTAGCAGGAGATGACATGTAATTGTTAAAGTTTTCCCAACTGAAAGTGAAACAAGCATAAAAACACTACTTTGGGGATGGGGGAGGGTTTACAACAAGTTTCAAATATTGGACATGGTGCCAACAGACTTGGAACAAAGTCTGAATCAAGTTCAAATTTTCATCTCCAATATCTACACACTAATTGTCAAACCATAATAACGAAGAATCGTTTCCTAAGAGTGTAGAAATCCAGAAGTCCAGTTGATTATTTACAAGGAAACATGAAATATAGTATATATCACTAGAATTCAATCCGCTTCTGCCAATAGCAACCTATTCTCAGTATAAACGAATGAACAATATAACAGGGAAATTGACAATAGAAAACTACTTGGTAATTCTTACACACTCGATCATCAATTCAATAAATATCAAGAATAAAAAAAGAACAGACCTCGAGCTGATTACCGGAAAGATTAAAGGAAAGCAAGCCACTAATCTTCCCGAAGGCTTCGGGCAAAAATCTGAGCTTCCTTCCACACAAATCAACTCTTTCCAATCCTTTTCCTTGCGCTTCCTCCAGTATCCCAACAACCTCCGGATCGGTCTCCTCAATTTGCTCCAAGCTTTCCTCCACTTCTCCCGCCTTCTCATAAATCTTAATCAGCCTCTCTTCCGCTTGCTTCACAAGCTTCTCGTACGCCTCGTGCATTTCGTCCAATTGCAATATCGATTTGTACATAGACATTTCTTTTTCGGCTTCTTGTCGAATCCGTTGCTCTTTTTCGGCCAAGTGAGCGCGCCACTCGGCTTGATCAACATCGGCGGGTCGAGGAGAGAGGACCAACTCTTCCAGGGATTTGGAGAGGCCGGAATTAATCTCGGCGAGTTTGGAGCGAGCCATGTCGACCGACTCGTGGTCGGGTCGGGGCCCGAGGGTTTGGAGGACGGAGCGGGTTTGGGCAACGTCGAAGATAGCATGGGTCATGGAAGCGAGGACTTTGGGATGGGAAAGGTTGGGCATTTCGTCCACAATCGATGGATGATTGGCGGAGGAGGAGGATGCCGGCGGTGGTTGTTCGAGGTCGGAGGGAGGATCGTAGTGAGGTTTGGAGGATGACATGGAAGGGAGTCGGGACAAAACGTAGGATAGTAGCGGGTAGCTTTTCAGGTGGGGATCCATTTTCAGGGACGGAAGCCTTTTGGGTTTTAGAAGGTTAAGACAGCGAATGATCGGATATTTCCAAGTTTTCACTTATCAGCTGTTTTAAGACTTTCAGATAAACTGGGTTCGGATCTTGGGGATGTCTAAGGTACACAAAGTTCGGATAAATACATCATTTTTTTCTTTTAAAAAATACAGATAATTTATTTAACTAAATTTTTATTACAAATGAATCCTCTATTGTTAAATATTTTTTTCTTTTGAAAATTGTGAATAATTCATTCAACTAATTTTTTATCACAAATTAAACCATTTTTTATTAAATTTATATAATTTATTTAACATAAAAAGTTATATAATATACTAAAATAATAATCTTACTTGTCAAAATTTATATAATTTATAAGCGCTATCTACCTATTATCTTGTTGAGTTGCAACTTCCAAATAGAATCTCTCTTTCAAGCAGTTCAAATCTCTCTTTCACTCTATGAATAAATTTATCAGTTACGTTCCTAGTTATTCTCAGCTGGAAGTTGGTGCTTTTAACTTTAAGCCACACGATTCCGATGTGTGCATCGCACTTACAAGCATTCTGAGCTAGACTCGACTTCTCAATCTGGTACCTAAGCTTCACCTGCATGCATGAAATCAGAACTAAATTTGCAAACAATGAAAAGCCGGCACATGTAGCCATTAGTGGCCAAAAAACGGAAAGGGGCTCGGCTTCGGCCTTTTACGTACACGAAATTCGTCGCTGAACGGAACATCTCGCAGCCGCATGACCTCATTCACAATCCACCCCTCACCATTTGCAGTAGGACATTTTTGTTGTGTGCAGGTAACTTCCCCTCCGAAGATCGAAACTTGGCGATTGAATTTGTAAGAGACCCGTCTTTCATAAACACCACTCTTAGACTTTACCTGTTCCCAAGTGGTCGGGACATAGTTAAGGCAACCGGATTTTTCCATAATTTTGTGCTCCAATTGTCCCCCATCAAAGATTTCCATTAGTGATGTTATCTGCAGCGATGTCAAATGCAGTTGTTGCACCAATGTGATAAACATATATAATGCAGTTCCTAGATGCATTGTTTGAATGTAAAATAAGAAGAAAATCGGATTAGGACGAAGAAAGAAATAATTTACACAGATAGGGAGTTCAGCAGTGTAAATCCTCGACATCTCTATATCTTCCGCATGGAGAATGGATCCAACCTCTTCGAGTACGAGAGGTCTTTCCTCTTGTTCCTGCTGCTCTTCTGCAATCTCTGCTCGTTGATCAGTTGTAAAAGTTCTTGTTCTCCACAACGCCATTATCGTCCTGTCATATTTAATAGAAAACACTATGATGGGAATCAGAAGATGATAATATCCAAAGGAGCTGCATTGGCTTATTTTCTTCTTTTGTTACATTAATACCTGCAGGCATCATTGAATGACACAAAAGATTGAAAATGAAATCTTAGTCGTCCTTCTTCATCTTGCGACTTTGCACCGTGCCTCGCGTCAAGACCTCGACCCTTCCCTAGAACTATGACTAGAGAAGGGCTAACGACCGATGCCAGCGATGGAGGAAGCACTTGGATGTCTTCTATGTCTCCCCAAAGGAAGAAAAACTTGGTCTTGTGTCCAAACAAATTGGCACTAAACCCCACAATTCTGGCAGATAAAAAGAGGCGGCCCTGCATACATACACATTTTTTTCCTGTTTTAAGCCATGTATTCTTACAAATGTAAGTGCTTTGATAACATGTAGTGATATGAAAAGTGTAATTAGCACCTGCACAGGCAGTTTTCTCTTGAGCTGACATGTGAAGTCATTGATAAGAAATTCTTCTGGTGGCAAGCTGAATAGTTTCTGAAACGTCGAGTTCTTGTGAGGCGAACGTAGATTCAACTGCAAAATACAGACTCTGTGGTTACACAAATAGATTCTTAATGATTATTTTCTGTAAAATATAAATTGTCTTTGTCTTACCTTCTTGCCTACTTCTTTTTCCATCTTTGTTAAATATTCCTTTATAGCTTGAACTCCTTTGTTATTGTCCAAAAATATTCTCAAGTGCAACTTCGATTGAGAAGGCTGAGCAAGCTTTCCCTCAAGGGAGACCCACAAGTCACTTAGTTCCGAGGGTGTATGCTTCAAAAGATTGATCTCACAATGCCCAAGTGAGGCAGCCTGGTCGAAAGGGCCATCGGAATCGAAAACTTCGACATCCAAGACTGACGGGGGTTCTTCCATGGCATCAAATTCAAGTATCTCTGCATAGTATCGTCGTTGAAACAGGTTACCGATATCTTCAGAAGAATTAACCAAAAGGTGTAAAGGAATTACCATTCCATTGAGGATCATGAGTTTGTAGCTTGACAGAGCTTGTTCTTGTTTTGCCATTGCAGGTAAAAACCACGTAAGGGTCTAAAGATTCTGCTGAGTTCAGGGATGCCAAATTAACACCCTCGATCAAAGCTACTGTGAGAACCCATCCATCACCTTGCGCTTTGATTCCGTGATCGTTTCCTGTTAACGTAAATCGACATGTAAGTTTAGTTGTGAATTGTGAAGTATGGATGAAGTAAGGTAATAGTCACCTCTTTTCAATCTAGCATGTATGAAGTGAGAAACCATGTTGTAAACATGCTGCAAAAGCATAACTAAAATTCCACTTGTGAGAAGCTCTTCGAAACTATCAGGCAAGTCAAGTCCATCAATTTCCAAGCCTTGGATTTCGGAAGAATGACAAAGTAAAACGTGCAACATGAAATACAAAACCGCGAAAATGGTGAAAACAACGGTGAAATTCCCGAAGTATTCGATCGCCAATTTCCAATCCGACTGGTGTTCTGTTTCCAAAGCTGACAGCATATGATCCCTGTCTGATAATTCCATGGGATTCAGAATCTTCAAATTCTGAGCTAACAAGTCAGAAAACTGATCAAAACTCTCCTTCAGTCCTTTCTTAGCTCCTCCTTCGATCATGCTTTGCATCATCGTGCTCTGCTGAAAATGAACTCTCCATGATACTATGAGATGAGAAGATTCTTCTTCTGTTGGTACCTCCGGTCCAGGCATTATCTTGTAAAGCAACTCGATCTTGAATGTACTTCCATACGGAACATCGGGAGTACTTACAGTTACCAGGATGACATATTCATGTCCATTAGCTTTGATATAGGTTTGCTCTTCGGTTGCTTTAACAGCCTTGACTAACTTCGTTGCAGCCTTCGTGTACGTAATTACTCGTGTTAAGCGCGAAACATCCTCGGATTTCCACTTCCATGGCCCCACCTCCACATCTGTTGTTCCCTGCAGCTGTGCCATATCTTTAATGAACTGTGAATCAGGTGCAAACAGAAACTTATTTAGATCACATGGGGATACTATGTACATCTGATCAACAAGGACGCCGCCGTCCAGGTTTTCAGGAATATCATCTTTGTCGTGCTCTAACTGCATCAATTCCATTGCTTCTTCAAAGCTGCAATTAGAGGAGTGTTCCTCCTCATGATCAGATAAAGCAGAGGAAAAGTCCAACGGCGAATCATCCATTCTCGAGACATCTTTGTTCTTATGGAAAAGCTTGTCAACCCGTCCTGCAATAGTCTTCACCAACCCTTTGGTGAATTTCAGACATGGAGCTTTGGCACTAATTATGTCTTGAGATAGTTTGTATGTACTTTCGAATTCGTCATCGTCTCGTGGTAAACGTCAGATTGTGCAAGAAGAAGATGGTTGTTCGAATGATCATGCCCTTTTCCGTGCAAAGAAAGGGTGAGAAGAATTTTTCCTGCATTAATTAACAAAAAGAAAATACCGTAAATTCATTAATGAAAACCGAATGAAACTATCTTAATTTAACTCTGTTGTTCTACGTCCTCAATGAAGTTCATCCACACGGACAATGATCGGTTTCTCCACTTAAATCAAACTTATATAAATTATTCAATCCATTTAATGCCATCAACAAAAATCAATAATGGCACAAAAATATAAGAAGATTAAGAGGAGGCAAAAAGGAAAAGTAATGGGCAGAGAGCAGTAACCAGAATCTTTGGTAATGAAGTTCCCAGTCTTGTATTTGTGAAGAGGAAACCAAGTAGGAGGCAAGGTTTGATTATGCTGATCAGCAACCAAGCTAAGTGGCACAGAAACGAGTCCTAGCAAACACTTGGAACCATTGAAGAAAGCCGAATCATGTTCGACGTGAAAAACAGAAGCAACAAGCTGTTCGCCGACAACATCATGAACCCTGAAAACGAACTCCTCGTTCCAGACGGGGTTCCAAGTGTTGGCCGGAGTCTTGGTCTTGGATTTGAGCCTGCCAAGTTGGAGCTTGACGTAGGTCCCCTGAATCGGCAAGTCTTTGGCTTGCAACACGTAAACGTAAAGCCTCATCACGGTATGGATGCAAAAGGATGAAACTTTAAAGAGAGTTTTTTGAAGCTTCAAGCGCGGCGTGTATTTATAATTTAAAGCGGTGGGGACTGGGGGACAGAAAGGTGAAGGTCAAGGCAACAATGATGTATGGCTCGCCATAGACACATGGATACGTTAGTAAAAGGACACGATGTTAGTATTTTCTATAGCTTATTATATTGTGCCTCTAGATGGACTAAGCTAATAGATTAGGAAAACCATAGAGGGAGGGAGAAGAAAAAAACTCGGCTCGTGTAGCGTAGGGTTGTAAATAATAAGAGATAGATCTTAAATTATTTGATTAAATTTTAATTAATATTCAATTTAAATGTATTTAGTTTGAGTTTGAATTCAACTAAATTTTTAATAAATCGAATTGAATTATTTGACATTCTATTCGAAAAGGTTTGTGAGTAATTTGAAAAAAAAAATTTAATTTATAAATAAAATTATTAATAACATTAACATATATATGTTGTTGGTTTTTTAAAATGTAATATAAGATTTTCATGTACTTAAGGTTAAGGTTTGACCTCGAGTTTGAATTTGAACTGAGCTCGAGTTCGAGTTTTAATTGAATTAAATATGAGAATGTCTTGAGTTCAAGTTTTTTCAAACTCAAGTTGTACTTTAATTATTTCATACTTGAGTCGAGTTCGACAATTTTAAACTTACAAGCATTCAAGTCGAGTTTAACTTAACTTTGAACTTTTCGTATTGAGTCTAGTTCAACAATATTCAAACTCGACTCGACTTATTTACCATCCTAATATAATGATGTAATTTAAACATGTATGAAGTATTTATAGATAAAAAAAATTTGTCTCGTTAATTATTGATGATTCATTTCTTCTAATTTAAAGATAAATGTATGATGTAGAAGTGAAGGAGGAATAAGTCAAGAGAATATCTCTTCCTCAATCGTTATTAAAGAGTATTTATATTGACTATAGTTGATGGTATCAGACATATAATTATTATGGTTACTCGTAAATTAACATAATAAATAGATCTAATGACCAGATTCTTCAATTTCATCTTGAAAAATCACGTAGGTCTATCAAAAGTCTTTATATAAGTATAACGAATTCAGATGATACGAACTTCTTAAAGACTCTGATATAATATTAATAAAAATCTAAATACCTTAACTTTAAAATTTTCATTTACATAACTAATTGTTAAATTGAGAAATACATCATTGGAACAATATTTTAATATAAGAACAGTAACCAATTTAGAACATGTCGTCTAATGCATTTTACTTTTTAGACAAATATGATTTATGCTCAGGCTTGGACCAATTAGTGGGCTAAATGGGCCGAAAAGAAAACTTGGAGGCCCAAAAGGCAACATCTAATTAAAGGCATATAAATTTAAACCGCCACGCCACTCGCACAAGCTGGTGTTTTGAAAAATACTAATTACATTTAAAATAGAAAGGAGAGGATGCTACAAGTCCCGGCGTTCATGACGCAGTTCCCATCTACGGCGAGGGCCATTCCGCCCTCGCATCTGCTTCCTTCTCAATGGCCCCAACCCCACAGCGAAGAGCTGCTTCTGGCCCTGGAGGAATCTCATCTCGAAGACAAGGTAATTTCAAATTCTAAATCCCCCTCTTCTAGGGTTTTTCCCGTCGCATAAATATAATTTTTATTTGCTTTCTCGGAAATGAGTATTTTTATTATTATTTAAAATTTAATTTCGAAAAAATAATAATGTAATTTTAATTAGGTGTATTGTAATGAGTGAATCATTTTTGAAAAGCAAATGATCATGTCATTTTAGTTGGGCAAGATTTAATGAATGCCGTTTGCTCTCTTTGCTGCTTGAATATACTGAAGTTTTTCTTTCTGGTGATATAGTGGGTGTGTTATGTAATGAATTTTGTAGAGAAGGTCACTCCATAAAATTCTAAGCCTTCTTTCGAACAAGAATCTAGCTCGCATTACCATTTTTTATTATAAAATTTCAAGAAGTAATGCTATGCTTTTTATATGATCAGTGTCTAAGTGTTTAAATGAAATAGGAGGCAGTTGTTGATAATTCAATAAATCATTTGAACAAATTAAAGTGAGTGCAATGAGTCCACTTGCTTAAAACGAGCCGTTGTACTTTTAAGGGACCTGGTCCTTTAAAAGGTTTCTATGCTGCAGGGGATTGAAACTTGAGGCTGCATGCATGTCCACTGAAACAGGATTTAACAAATAACTTGTGTCAAAAACCATGATTTCTTATACTTCGGGTTTTGCTTGTCCTTGTCCTAATTGTGCTTGGTTGCTAGGTTAAAAGTTTCAGCACGAAACAGATTAGAAGTTGAGTTTAAAGTGTTGGATGTCGGAACTTAACTTTAAAATGGATTAGTTTGTGATTACACGTTTTTCCAGTTCCCTCTCATGGTAGAGTGCGATCAACTTGAAAGACTGGAGAAATCTTTTTCCTATTTCCCTGTATTTCTTTTTCATAAATTCTCATGTTGGATTACAAGTAGTTTATGACATCGGTAGCTGACATCTCTTTACCGTATAAGTCAATATGAGTATGTGAACGGATTGTTAGAAATTAGTAGAAGCTGATGTTTATTGAGGCAGGTTCATGTGTTTGCCGCTGTTGGTTTTGTTGACACTTGTGTAATTAATTTTTTGCAGTTGAATGAAATCAGGGATACTAACAGAAATTTTGTTGTGATTGGGAAGACAACTGCTGATAATGATAAAGAAGACGGTAATGACGTAGATGATGATGATGCTGACAATGCGGATGAATCAGAGGGTGAGGATTTTGAGCAAGAAACTGGTTGAACATTATACCGGTTCTCTTGCTTACGACTCTCTTGGAAAATCCCTGTTGCTAGTCCCTGTAAAATGTGAATTGAGATGAGCATTACTGCTATGTTATTTTTCCACAGAGCCTGTTTCACACATGTAGGTGTTTCAACAAGGTTCAAACAGAGTGTTCATTTTCATTTTCATTTTCAAGCATTGCTGCTATTTTCTGTAAGACATGAGAATTGACGTTAGGAAAAGATTTCTTGTGCCCATTTCTGTCGTTTTGATGGGTGAGGCTGCGCATGGAAAGAGAGGAGGCAGGTAAGTGTTCATTCTCATGTTACAACTTACAAACTAGCGGTAAACAAAATTCTACTTGAAGAAATCAAAATTTTCGATTCAACCGGTGATTTCATAAATTTGATTAAAAAAATTTAAATTTAAGTGAAGTTAATAAAACAAACTCGAACAACTCGTGATTAGTAGATTGATTTTTAAGTTCGATTTGAATCTCTCAATTATGCATTATATGTATATATCATATATGAAAAAAAATAAGCAAAAGGGTCATCTTTGTCCTCGTAGTAAACTCAATTTATTATTTTCGCCCATATCGTATTTTCACATTAATTTAACTTTCGAAGTTGCTTAATTTTATCATTATATACTTTACTCCTCACTTAAAATCTTAAATTGAGGGTTTTAAGTTAGAAATTAAGGTTTAGGGTTTAAGATTTAGAGGTTATAGAGTTATGGTTTACAGTTATTAATTTAGGGTTTTAAGTTAATATAGGATATATAATGATGCAATTAAATAACTTTGAGGGTTAAATTGATGAGAAAATACAATAGTGGCGAAAATAACAACTTGCGACTACTATAGGGGTAAAGGTAAGCCTTTTGCCAAAAAAAAATATATGTATATTGTATAAGGTTATAAAAAAATTTAAATTGAGAATAAATAGAATTATTAATATTTATAATTAAATTAACGTAGAAACTCAAATAATTTGGTTTGACTCAAAAAAAAATTCAAATAAAATTTGAGTTATAAAGATTGATTCAAAATTTTTAAACGACGATTCGATTGAATAATTACCTCTATTACAAACCCAATTTCAGATCTCGGATGTGTCATGTCGTTTTGTAAGCTTTGAGAAACAAAACGAACCTATAATTGTCGTTTTGAATCATTGAAAGAGATGGTTTGAGAAATGAGCCAGGTCCAGCAATGCAAAAAGATACAAGCCTTTGATTTGTTGAAATGTTTTTAAGGAAATTAGAATATGTGAAGTAATTAGAATCGGTTAGGAATTGGAATCAAATTTCATATTCTATTTGGTTGGCAGAAAATAGAATTGGAATCCAATTTCATATTCAGTTTGGTTTGCAGACATATTAGATGAATTCGATTTCAATAATGTAAAATGACAGAATTGTCCTTCTTGTTTTTTTTACTTTATTTATGTTTGTTTTACAACTTACATGTAGTAATATATTATAAAAAAATTTAAAAAAAATTAATTTTTCATTTTATTGATTGATTATTCATTTCAATAAATTATAAAAATTATGCTAATAAACATCATAAGTTAAAATCATCGCAATCAAAATATGTTAATAAGTTACCAAAAGATAGAGTAATATTTCGATACATTCCAATCAGAGTATGTTAATTAGTTACCAAAAAATATACCAAAAACTATTTTTATTTAATATATGAATTAGAAACCTGACCCGACATGACACAAACTAATAAAAAAATTATTTTTATTCAATAAAACATTGATTTAATTGAAAAAATTATATATAGAGGGGTATTATTGTAATTATTCCTAAATATATAACGTAAAATTATATATTTTTTTCGGGTGGGGTTCGATTTTTTTCACCCTAAATCCGAACCCGACCCGAATATCACACTTAAAAAAACCTGACCCGACTCGAATATCACACTAAAAAAACCCGACCCGAATATCACACTTAAAAAACCCGACCCGAATATCACACTTAAAAAACCCGACCCGACCCAAACAAAATAAAGTTTCACCCGATCCAACCCGAATATATGAATTAGAAATCCGACCCGACCTGATCCGAAATAAAAAAAAAATTATTTTTATTCAATAAAAACAGTGACTTAATTGAAAAAAATTATATATAGAGGGGTATTATTGTAATTATTCCTAAATATATAAGGTACAATTATATATATTTTCGGGTCGGGTATTTTTCACCCTAAAACCGAACTCGACCCGACCCGAATATCATACTTAAAAAAACCGATCCGACCCGACCAAAATAAAGTTTCACCCGACCCTAAATAATAAAAAAATATTTTTATTCAGTATATAAATAAGTTATAAAAGATTGATGAGGGTAGTATGGTTAATTTCAACTCCCTCCAACAAGAGAATTAAATTTCATCTCCAACAAGGGAATTAAATTTCATCTATTATTGATGAAAAGTTGAAGCCATGAGGGAATCCAATTCCTTTAAAAAATTTAAACCAAATATCGTAAATTGGTGGAATTAGATTCTAATTCCCATAAATTTTAATAGATTCATGTCAACTAAATATCACCTTTGTAATTGATTTTTAGGGCGGCTGATCCTATTCTACTCAATCACCAACCCAAAAGTTGACCCACCACGCAATAGGACCTTTTCCTTTGGTTGAAGTACATAAAAATTTAATAAAAAAAAGTACATGAATAATAACTCAATTATGTTAAAATAAAATTTTATTATTAAAATTTTGAAAGTTATATAAATAAAAATAAAATTTTAAAAAATATTTTTTAATAATTTAATATTTTTTTATAATTATTTAAAAAGCTTAATGATTATTTATAATTTTTAAAATTTCAATAATTAAAAATATTATTTTAACATATATATTTTTTTATTATTTATGTACTTTATTCTTTTTTTTTAAAAATGATTTTATTTTGTTTATTTATTTTAGAAACATACAAAGCAAAAGAACAAGATAATGCTTGTCATCAGCTTATAGACTTTCTTTTCTCATAATCACAGTTCCTAATCAACCCCCACCACCTCCCATGGAGCCATGCCCACCATCACTCCGCCGCCCGCCGCTAGCCCTCCATAAGCCATCCTTTATCCTCCTCATCCTCCTTATATTAGTATCTCCCACTTTCGCTGTTGATTTCCTCTTCAATTCCTTCGCCACTGCCATCAACACCACCAATCTCACCCTCATCAACGATGCCCAGATCGACACCTCCACCGTCCGCCTCACCAACGACTCCAATCAGTTCTCCTTCGGCCGCGTCTTTTACCCCACCACCCTTCGCATGAAGCCAACTTCTAATTCCTCATCACTCTCTTCCTTCTCAACAGCCTTCGTTTTCTCTGTCTTACCGGAAATCTCCACCAGTCCCGGGTTCGGCCTCTGCTTCGTCCTTTCCAACTCTACTTCACCTCCTGGCGCTCTAGCTAGCCAATACTTCGGCATTTTCACCAACGCCACCACCCCTACGGTGGCTCCCCTTCTAGCAATCGAGTTCGACACCGGTCAAAACCCGGAATTTAATGACCCCGACGGCAACCATATAGGGATCGATTTAAATACTATTATATCTGCTCAAACAGCTCCAGCTCAATATTTTAATTCTTCAAATGGTAGTTTCGTTCCTTTTAACATGCGGACGGGTCAAAATGTCCATGCTTGGATTGATTTCGATGGCTTAAATTTTGAGATCAACGTCACGGTTGCTCCCGTGGGCGTTCCCAAACCCTCGAGGCCAACGCTTAATTATAAAGATCCGGTGATTGCTAACTACGTTGCTAGTGAGATGTTTGTCGGATTCTCCGCTTCCAAGACTCAGTGGGTCGAGGCTCAGCGAGTTTTAGCTTGGAGCTTGAGCGATACGGGAATTCTTCGAGAGATTAACACAACCGGTTTGCCTCGGTTCTTTATAGGATCACCATCTTCTTCTTCTTTGTCACCTGGAGCCATTGCTGGGATCGTGATTGCTTGTGTTGCTTTAGTAATTATTTGTGGATCTGGGTTTTATTTATTTTGGAGGAAAAAGTTGAAGGAAGAAAGTGAAGATGAGATCGAGGATTGGGAACTCGAGTATTGGCCACATAGATATTCTTATGATGAGCTTAAACAAGGAACCGATGGATTTTCGAATGAAAATCTTTTAGGCTCCGGTGGGTTTGGTCGTGTTTTTAAAGCGGCGCTTCCAAATCAGGCGGAGGTTGCGGTGAAGTGCGTGAACCATGATTCGAAGCAAGGACTAAGAGAATTCATGGCTGAGATCGAAAGCATGGGAAGACTCCAACATAAGAATCTTGTCCAATTGCGAGGTTGGTGCAGGAAAGGCAATGAACTCATGCTTGTTTACGATTACATGCCTAATGGAAGCCTTAACCGTTGGATTTTCGACAAACCAAAGAAGCTTCTCGGCTGGAGACAACGGCTGTTGTTGTTGGCCGACGTAGCGGAGGGTTTGAACTATCTGCACCATGGCTGGGACCAAGTTGTTGTTCATAGAGATATCAAATCGAGCAACATTTTGTTGGATTCCGAAATGAGAGGGAGGCTCGGAGATTTTGGATTGGCTAAGTTATATGAACACGGACAAGTTCCCAATACAACCAGGGTGGTTGGAACCTTGGGTTATTTGGCTCCTGAATTAGCCACGGTGGCAGTTCCTACGGCGTCTAGTGATGTATACAGCTTCGGCGTGGTGGTTTTAGAAGTGGTGTGTGGACGACGGCCATTGGAGATGTCGACGGAAAGGGAGGAAGAGCAAGTGTTGATGGATTGGGTGAGAGAGTTGTATGGAGAAGGGAGGTTGAGGGAGGCTGCGGATGGGAGGTTGAGGGAGGAATACGACGGCGAGGAAGTGGAGATGATGTTAAAGCTGGGGTTGGCTTGTTGCCACCCCGATCCTTCGAAGAGACCCACCATGAAGGAGGTGGTTGCGGTTTTGGTTGGGGAGGAAGTGGGTGCTGCTCCAGGTGAGTTGTTAAATGATCTGGCTCGTGGTGGCGGCAGCGGTGGAGAAAGAGTTTGAGAGGCGGCGCCACCTGCCTGAAGACTGTTTCATTTTGTTAAATATTATTCTGAGAGTAATAATGGCGGTGGTGGAACATGGTTGTTGACTTTACATGTTGTGTTACTTTTGATCAAATTTTGTCAATATTATTTTTGTTGAAAGCAATAATCAATGTTTGTGCTGACCGCTTAATATTGTTTGTGGGTCAATATTTTTTTCTCTATTCATTAGGGTTTGGTGGTGGGTGAATGATTTACCATTTAAATTAGAGTTGTCTACCTAACCTCAAGCAATAAGTACCATGATCTCAATTCAAATCACCAATATTTCTCAATTGGTTCATAGGTTGTCAATCCTCGAAAAAATGGTTGTCCCTTGTTTTCATATGTAATGGGATAAGGAGGAAGTAAGTTAGTAGACTGCCCCCAACATTAAGTTGAGAGCAATTTCCGTAGGAGACCTCCAAATTATGAAATGCCCTTCATAGGACGACTTTAAGATTAAGAACCTTGTGCTCTACCAACTGAGCTGGATGGTCATTTCTTGTGAATCCTCGAAAGTGAGTACTTATTATTCACTTATAATCACTTCCATTCCTAGAATTCTCTCTATCGATTTTGATATATTGGACTCCAAACGGGTAAAAATTGTCTCACACTCAAGGGTACAAATTAATTTATTTCAGTGATTAAAGAAATCAAGGGTTCGAACACTTACAATTACAAGAATGATTAGGCGTTTATGAATTACTTGCCATCTTAAGGGACTTAACTATTGAACCACATAGAAAAGACAAGTGTCTTCTTACCCATAATCAACATCTTTAATCCTTTGATCTTATACAGTTTGACTCTTCTCTTTTGACAACTCAAAACATTTTTATAAAATGAATTATATAATTTAAAATCATAAAATTTGATTTGAAAATAGACTCGAAACATACAATTTAAGTAACTAAAACAAAACCGTATAATAAATAATCTAAATTCAAAACATTTTTATAAAGTAGAGTTCTTTATCTCGGTCCAAATATATTGCGTCATTTATCGTTAAATTATCTTTTTTATTTCTATTTTGATTATTAAATTAATTTTTTTTTTAAATTTATCACTAAACTTTTAAATTATTCTTTTTTTTATCTATCAAATTCTCAGGACTTTACCCTAATTAATCTGAATCGACTCGTGTCGTACACTTAATTTTTGTGGGTAAGTATTCCAACGGAGATTTTTTGCATATACAAAAACTCAAACTTAGGATGTACTTAAATAATATCAAATTACTTACCGCTTAAACTAATCTCGTTAATGATTTATTCATATTTTAATCACTTGACACTGATTTTTTTTTATTATTTTCATCATAATATTTATATTTTATTAATATTAAATATTACGAAAAACTAAATTTAATAAAATATTAGTGATCATTTATATATTTTATCCTTTAATCAATTACCCAAAAGTACACATTTGAATAGACACAAACCCCACACCTGCACCAATCAAAACGCAATTGAAATGGTCCATTTCTGTAAAACCCAGTTTCCTTGTACTTTCTCGCCACTCACCTCCTTCAGTTCCTCTAAGCTTAAACTCGAAAGCCAAGAAGAAGAAAAAAACAGCGCAGCTTCTAAAACTCGATACAAGCTTTTGCAAATTCTAGAGGAAAATGGGTAGCTTCACGCTTGGGGAAATTTCAGGGCTCAGTGAAGAACTTGTCAAGAAAACATGTTTAGTTTCCATGGCAGCACACAAGTCACCGGATAAGCTATTCCTCGTAGAAAATTCTCGTACCTCATCCGATGTATTCTTCAGCTTCACCGGATCCTGGTCTGCTGCTCACTGTTTCACTCGACAACCTTTCGGGGAAATCAAGGTTGACCAGTCAGACTTGCTGTGTCCCAAGGGCAACGATAAAGTTGCCACATCTCTTAGAAGTATTGGTCGTTATGAACTCGCGACTGTTAATGAAGGGTTTTTGAGAAGATTTGAGAGGATTTTGGTCACATCTCCGCTTCAAACTGAGGTACAGATTAATTACCATTGACTTCATATTTCTGTTAACTTTTCCCCACTTTTAATTATAAATGTACTTGTCTTTGGATCCGGATGTTTATGTACTTATTGAGATTTTAGTATTAGTTTTACTGAAACTGTGGGATTAGATTCCGTTTACTAACTTTTTCTAGTTAAGTTTACATGGTGTTAAAAGGGCAGTTAAAATGAAAACCATTGGCCAAATTAATGGATTTGTGAAAGCAAATGAGCATAGCTTGAAATTGATGGCTATGATTTTTGATATTTCTCAGGTAGAAAAAGCTATTTTGGAGGAGGAAGATAGTATTTACTGGACATTCTTCTGGTGGTGCCGTAGCTGTTCTAGCAAAAGTTTGGTTCTTGGAGCAGTACTTGAAACCTGAGAAAACTATGATGTTGCCTCTTTGTGTGACGTTCGGATCGCCTCTCGTCGGTGATTTCATTTTCAACCATGCTCTTACGAGAGATAACTGGTCTCAGCACTTTCTGCATTTTGTGATGAGATATGATATCGTCCCTCGTATTTTGCTTGCCCCTTTGTCTTCCATGGGGCAAGAACTAGAGCACATCCTGTGTCTGTTGAACCAGAAGGGGGTGTTTCCGATTCAGGGATCTATTGTGGAAGCATCAAAGTTTTACAAAACGGTGATGAGAAATGTATCAGCTGTTGCCAGCCATGCTGCCTGCCGATTAATGGGGAACACGAATCCGATATTGGAAACTGTAGCAAGCTTCATCGAGCTAAGCCCTTATAGGCCCTGTGGAACTTTTGTTTTTTGCACTGGACATAGGAAGCTGGTTTTGGTAAGAAATGCAGATGCTATTCTGCAACTACTGTTCTATTCTTCTCAGCTGTGCTCCGAGAATGAACTTAAATCCATCTCCGAGAGAAGCCTCAACGACCACTTCGATTATCTAAGTAAGCTTCAAGAAAGCTTAAATAAGCCACTTGTGGAAGCACTTCCGCTTTCGCTGAACGGTGTAACTGCTGAGAACATACCAACAAGCAGTGCCTTGAATGACCTTGGCTTGGTAAGTATTATTTTCGCCTGTTCAACTTGTGAAAATATGCCCTTCACTTGATCAGTCTTGTCCGAAAGTCGTGTTATTCCTAACGTGATCGCTTTGCTGGTGTCTTCGAATTCCAGAGCGATAGAGCCAGGCTGTGTCTTCGGGCTGCAGGAGAGCACGAAAAGCAAAAGTTAAGTAACCAGCAAAGAATGGATAGTAAGAAGAGGAACATCGTATCGGGACTTCAAGCACTAGAAGAGTACAAGACCAAATCTGCTTTCTGCATTGTGGGATATTACGACGCCTTTAAGATTTCAAAAGACGAGGATGATTTCAAAGCAAATGTAAAGAGGCTGGAACTAACAGGGATATGGGATGAGATTATTGAAATGCTGAATAGGTATGAACTCCCTGAAAGATTCGAGAGCCGAAAAGAATGGATAGAGCTCGCAACCAAGTAACGTCGGATTGTTGAGCCTTTGGACATTGCCAACTACTATCGGCACGCAAAGAACGAGGACATCGGACCCTATATGTACAAAAGCAGACCAAGGCGCTACAGATACACCCAAAGGTGGCGCGAGCATACTTTGAGAATGCCTGTGGGATCGAGTGCAGAATCTTGTTTCTGGGCCGAGGTAGAGGAGCTCTATAGGACTACCAACCCTGGAGCATTTGAAGACATCAGGGAAAGAACTATAAAACTGGAAAGAGAATTGGAGGTATGGTTTCATAGTAAGCAAATAGGCAATGATGTGTTTTTGAAAGGCTCCACTTTCACCAAATGGTGGATAACACTCCCTCACCAACACAAATCCGCCTCCCGAATCCAGGGTTTAATCAACAGCTAAGATTAGATATCTATTCTACGGCTTAAAGAAACCGATGAACAAGCATCGGTGACTGATCTGGCAGCTCATTAACTACAGTTTCATTTTGATGCTCGCTATCAACAGCTCAATAACTTGAGGCTGCCAGAAACCAAAAGGAATATCACAATTACATAAGCTTACATTCATTGAAATGTAAGTTGTTTCATTTCATCCTCATAGATAAACTACCTACTAGAACTACTACTATATATATTACCTGATCAGTTCATATTTACTGAGAGGATATTTTGTTAGACCAATATTTGTTTCTATTGCACAAACTGGTTATTATTATATCTAGAAACGCAGTATTCCCGAACACGAGATGAACACGAGCCATCTCTGGCTAGAATCCCTTCCAGGTCTCCTATAATTCTGGCCAACCATATCTCCAGGTTTCTTTGTACTTCCTGTAAGTTGTTTCTAATGGAATCCATGGATCGTTTCATGCCCACTTTGGCCGTGGCTGAGCTTCCGACATCATCCCTGTTGTAACTCTTCCCGATCTCGGTTTGTAGTGCCATTAGCTTTTGTCCAGTTTCAGATGCATGCTGCTGAAGCCGAAACGCTTCCAGCAAAAACTCAGTCTGTCTTTGAGTTCGAAACTCTAGACTGAGTGTGGGTTCAGAGGGATCACTAGCCTGCTGCAAGATTAAGAAAAAGATTCTAGTGAAGAAATAGAAATAGTCGGTTACATATATGGATCATCTCCAAAAAGGATTGATCATCCAAGTTAGGCAAAATTTTAATGTTATTATTAACTGCAACAAAATCATCTTCAATCAAAACCGTAGAAAACCAAGCCGTAAATGGAAATGCACCATTGGGTTCCTCACATAGTCCTGTTACATATGTTTGAGTTCCATTTTGAAACTTTATATGGTATATATGGCTCTTAACAGTCCAAGATTCACAAGTAGAAAAAGTAGCAGAAAAATACAATCTAAGGCAGATATGTCTTACCATTCTTCTGCAGAGATCTTCAATCTTTGCAGTAAGAGCTTGATATCTTCTGGCCTGCTTTCTCATTAATGAAGGTACCCTTGAAAATTCACTTTTACCAATTTTTTCCAAATTCAATAGTTCCTGTTCAAGCAGCTTTAGCTTAGAGGAAACTCCAGTTGATTCACCGCCTACCTTCCAAGGTGATTCCCTTCTGAAGAAAAAATATAAATTGATCCTTCATCAGCCACAGCATTTCACATGAACATATTTTAAGAACCAATATCTACTGTACCTTGCAACAAAATGCTTCATATGATACAAAGATTCGAGAGATTCATACTTTACATCCTGCGATCATAAACATTAAACAATTAACCTTTAACAGTCACAGATGTAGCAAATTATTCAGGAAGAAATAATAAAATATGGCAAATAAATGGCCTGTGAATCCTCAAACTTTCAAAGTTCAAATACAAAGTTGAGAAATCCTCAACATCTGTCATGTTTTAACATTTTTTTTAAAAAAAGGAAAAAGTTTAAACGATTATGAGAATGCTTAACAATGCGGTAAAAAATGACAATATTAAACAATTTCTCACAAAAGGCAATCAATTTCACGCTCTCATCCCTCATTTATTCATTCTCCCCTCAAAGACAAGTACGACAAGACCAGAATCCACACAATAGTACTCATGGCAAGTATTAAAACCAGTCATGCATGACCAGATCCATCTAATATCTTCAGATGGTAGTAAATAGTGTGCGCAAAATATTCTGTTTTACGTTTGATAAGAATCATAGTTGATTGATATGAGGTCAGTTGCCAATATTATGAAAGGAACTAGACTTACAAATTTTAAAGTATGTGAACTGAATCAAAATCATATAAATGCTTCTTGAAGCTGCTTTGGTTGCAAGTTGCAACTAATTGAGGCCTTGTTGACTTTTATATGAAATTGTATAGGTTATGATGCAGTTGTCATGTCTTAGTTAAGGGTGGTCCAGCCACATGAGAGGGCTTAATCAGAAACCAAAAGCTACTTTTTGAGTGGGCACCAAACCAACATATCATGAAAAGGAACAAAAAGAATCAAGTAAAGAGAAAGGACTACATGCATTAAGCATTAATGATAAAGAGACTAATACACAACTCAATACAAACTTCATTGCAAACTGAATATTCTGAATGATGAAGATGGATGAGCAAGAAGACATCAATCCAATTATTCATTGTCATCTTTAAGCAGAAAGCTTCTGTCGGTATAAGGAATTTCGTAACGCAACCTACGGCAGAACAGAAGTTAACCAGTATGCAAAGCAGAGGTAATAAATGGTGGCCATTCAGCAAAAAGACTTTGGATTCATGATACAGTGCTCTCATGTTTGACCAAATTTTTACAGACCCTTCTAAGTTCTAAGTAGCGGCTTCCTTGTACCAAATAAATAAATGAGAAGTAAAAGGATTGAAGCAGTGCCTTTTTCTATTTAAAAATTCAACAATGAGAATTTCCATTCTCTCTCCGAGATACAGAAAAATATGGGATAAATGAAAGTACAAAAAACAAAGAGTTGGCAGGAAAGGAAAAGTTATAGTTCTACTCCTACTGATTTAAGGGTTTTCACCATAATTTGTCTCCTTTGTTCCGCACAATCAGAAGAATAAATAAATAAATAAATAAATAAATAAATAAGAAAAACTATGAGATATTTCAACATTCCCAGTAATCTAGTATTTGCTTGGGAACCAGAAAGATAAAAAAAGAGAGAGAGAAAATGAAGAAGAAGAGTGAAACAAACCTGCCAGGCAGTAGCTCTGTCTACCCAAAACTTGGAAGAAGCTGAAGCCAATAAATCTGAAGTGAAAGGAAAATGCCCGTTGTTTGCAACATTGAACTTTACTTGGCTCTCCCTGGAGTCTTCCGCGGCGAATTCCTCCTCCATTTTTTCTTGTTCTCCACCAGCAGCCCTATTGTTAGAGATGAAGCCGATAATGTCCTGGAGCTCCTCAATTTTCCGCTTGGATTCATGGGTCTCCTTCTCTAGCTCCTCGATCTTTGCTCGCTGATCCTGGATCTGCTGCAGAAGCTGTTTCTCCTCGGCTTGCCACGCGTTCCTGTGGGAAGCGAAGATCTCCACCACTCTGGCGTTTGCTTTGGAGTCCTCTTTTCTCCTCGACTTCATCTGCCTCAACTGTTCCTCCGCCGTCAAAAGCCTTGACATGATATCTCCCACCCGGGTTTGTAACTTGGGAATCAAAGAGAGTGAACACTCGGGAATGTAAGCCAAGAAAATACTGAAACTGACTCCGAGATACAAAGAAAGCAGCTTCTGGGTTTGCTGCCTGAGAATTTGATTATCATTTTCTTCACATTCGACTTCACATTCACCTGCTGTCGCCATCAACGGAGACGAAGAAGAAGCAAAGAGGCTATGAGTGCCTTGGATTACGTTACCGGCGTTGAAGGACGGGTGAAAAGGCTTTGGGAAATTTCGATTTGTGTTGAAAAGAATCTGCCAGCCCCATTACATTAATGCCTATTCTCCTTTCTTTTCTCTGTCTTGTTAACATCGTTATTTATTTATTATATCCTTAATATAAAAATAAATGTATAAATTATATATTTTTATTTAAATGCTTAAATCTTTCTTTATATGTTTAATGTTTTTAATGTTATTATTTCGGTATTTACGTTATGACGGTAAATAAATGTTTTTTTATTAAAAATCAATCAATTAGTATTTAATGTGTGATTTGATTTTTTATTTTTTTTTAATTTTTTTAAAAAATGAAATTCATAATTTTTTAGATACTATTTTTTTTATTTTTCATAAAATGTCCCATGACTTTTAATTCCGACACCAACCACCACCGACGACAATCTTACACTTATCCGTTAGCCATCAATTCATTTACTATCCCTCGACCACCCATCCACCAATTGAAATAAATATGTGTTGCAATTTAGAGATTGATGGATTTAGGTTTATAAATTTTGGGGTTTGATGCCATAATTGACGTCAGTTGATGGATGGGTAGAATGCGACAAGTAGGTAGGTCGTTGAAGGGGACAACAACGACGATGGATAGTCGACGGATGAGGTGGATGCTTGAGATTAAGGATTTTGAGATTTTTTTTAGATTTAAAAAAATTATATTTTTTTAAAATAATAATAATTTTAATTTTTTTTAAAAAAAATAAATTTTTAAAAATTTAAAAAGGCATTATGTGTCACATTCTGAGTGGTTAATGGAATTTTTTAAAAATATCAATTACGATCGAGAAATAAACATCCCATTCATGTGTTGTTCCAGAAAAAACATGATGGGAGTTTGAGATTGTGTGTGGATTATACGGCATTAAACAAAGTGACTGTCAGGAATAAATATCTCATTCCTTTGATTGCAGATTTGTTCAACCAGTTGAGTAATGCTAAGTATTTCACGAAGTTGGATTTCAAGTCGGGATATCATGAAGTGAGAGTTACCGAAGGGGATGAACCGAAAACGACATGTGTAACTCGATATGGGGCATTTTAATTTCTTGTTATGCTTTTTGGACTAACCAATGCTACTGCTACTTTTTGTACTTTGATGAACCAGGTGTTCCATTAGTACCTCGATAAGTTCGTAGTCATCTACTTGGATGATATAATGATATTTAGCTCTTTTATGGAAGAATATTAGGAGCATATTCGATTGATGTTGGCGATATTGCGAGAAAATCAATTGTTTGTGAAAAAGGAGAAATGTGCTTTCGCCCATACACAAGTCCAATTTTTAGGCCACATCATTGAGCAAGGGTGCATTCATATGGATAAGGAGAAGGTAAAGGCTATCCAGAAGTGGCTGACCCCACGAAAAATTAATGAGCTTAGATCTTTCCTTGATTTGACCAATTATTACAGACGTTTTGTGGAAGGTTATTCCCGTAGAGTAAAATTACTCATTGATTTACTAAAGAAAGGTTATGAGTGGGTTTGTTCCAAGAATTGTCAAGAGGCCTTTGATAATTTAAAGAATGTGGTGATCAGTGAACCAGTTCTTTGTCGGACCTTGAAAACCTCTAGAAGTAGAGACAGACGCGTTCGATTTTGCAATTGGAGGGGTACTCTTATAAGACGAACATCCCGTGGCATTTGAGAGTATGAAGTTGAATGAAACTGAAGTGAGATATACATCTCCGGAGAAAGAACTTCTAGCAGTAATTCATTGTTTGAGGATTTGGAGGCATTACTGTTGGGTTCCAAATTTGTGGTAAAGAATTATAATACACTAGTTAGCCACTTTTTTACGCAACCGAAGTTGACTGCAAAGCAAGCTAGATGGCAGGAGTTTCTAGCAGAGTTTGATTTTAGCTTTGAGCATAAGGTAAGGAAAAAGAATCAGGTAGTTGATGCACTGAGTTGCAGGGCAGATTTGACAGCACTCCGACGTTTGGCTCTCATATCTACTAGTAGAGTGTCCAACAAAATTCGTCAGCTTATTGTGAATTTTTCCAAGAAAGATCTGCAAGTGATGACACTCATGGAGATGGTTAAGAAGGGCCATTCAAAAATGTTTTTGGATAGAAAATGGTTTATTGATGACAAAGGGGCCACGAATGATTGTTCATCGTGTTGGGAATCTGAGACAGAAGCTGTTGAGGGAATGTCATGATACCCCATGGGCTGGGCATCCTGGTTGGAGGCACACTTTTGCTTTGTTGGGAAAATGGTATTATTGGCCTCAAATGCTCCAAGATGTGATGGGCTACACCAAGACATGTATTATCTGTCAACAAGATAAGGTGGATCGACAAAAGACATTCGATTTGCTCGAACCACTACCGGTACCCGCTCGACCTTGAGAGAGTATCTCCTTGGATGTTATATCACGCTTGCCACCGGTGGGAGATATTGGATCAATTCTGGTGGTAGTGGATATGTTCTCGAAGTATGCCACTTTTATACCGGTATCGAAGTATTGTTCGACAAAAGAGATTGCTAGGTTGGTGTTTAAACACGTGGTGAAATATTGGGGTATTCCTCAGAGTATAGTTAGTAACAGAGATGGAATATTTATTGGGAAGTTATGGAAGGGTTTGTTTCAGTTAGTGGGAACACTACTCAATTTTTCGTCGAGTTACCACCCTCAAACAGATGGGCAGACTGAGCGTTTTAATGGGCTATTGGAGGAGTACATGAGGCGTTTCATTCAGGCTAATCAGAAGAACTGGCCTCCATTATTGGATGTTGCACAGTTATGTTTCAATTCACAAAAGAGTTCGTATACTAATAAAAGCCCTTTTGAACTGGTGACAGGTCAGCAGTCAAGACTTCCTCAAACGGTAGTGTTGATTTAATCGATTGACGAAATCGGCCAAGAGGGGGGTGAATTGGCAATAAAAATTTTGGTGGAAGCTTTTGCAGAAAATTGAAAATAATTGCACAGCGATTTAGAGTGGTTCGACTTTCTCAACCAAAGTCTACGTCCACTACCTTAGCTATCCACACTAAGGATTTTCCACAAATTCACTAATTTATCTTTCTTTTGAGGACAAAGAGTAACCTTACAAACCCTCAAGAATTATACCCAAAATTCTTGAGAACACTCTCTCTCAAAGAGAACAATACAAATTTTGCAAACTTACAAGGAAATCCTCACAAGGTAGATTGTTTGCACAATTATAGAACAAATAAAAGAACACTCAAAATGAATACAATTGAGCAAAATAAGTGTTCTTGAAAGCAAAATGAATATTGAATGAAAAATAGGCTTGAAATGCTCAAACTTGAGGTTTGATGCTTTCTCTTTGATTCTATCTTGATTCTAGTTGCTTGATGTTTCTTGTTTTTGATCAATGGCTTCTAAGCTTGCTTAAATACACCTTGAATCACTTCTGAACGTTGAGGATCATTAATGAAGATAATATAGCCGTTTTAGTGTGAAATCAATTAATAAAACAGTTTGGAGCGTGGGGGAATCGGTACCCCCTATGGGGAATCGGTTCCCTAAGTGTAAAATTCAAATATTTCGACCGTTACACAGGGGGGAATCGGTTCCCTCCGAGCATACTGGAATTCTCGGAGCCAAACCATTCAGGGGGAATCAGTACCCCCTTGGGGGGGAATCGGTTCCCTCTGAGCAATCTGGAATTTTTGACTTTGAAATGGTTCGAAATACTTTGTAAAATTATTTTGAAATTGTTTTAAGATTAAAACTTAATTTTACACTTGAGTAAAGATTAAAAATGATTTTTGAAAGATTTAGAGTAATATTTTGATATTCGAATAATTATATCGAATATACTTAGAAAACCTTATTGCACAATCTTAAAATTCATTTAACTTAATTTGTTATATCGAAATATCAAAATGTTTTCAACAATCTCCCCCTTTTTGATATAACAAAATATTTTAGTAATTTTAAGATTTTGAAATAAAAAACCGACATTTTTGAAAATTACTCCCCCTTACTTTAACACTTACTCCTCTTTAAAACTTTAACACTTCTCCCCCTTTTTGTTAAATCAAAAAGACATTTGTAAAGAATTTTAAACAAGGTTTTGAAATCATTTAGTCAATTGAATATAATGTTTAAGCTGCTAAGATCACAATCAAGAGAAACGTTAGCCATTAGTTTAATAATCAATATTCATATTTAATGTGACATGGCAAAATTGGTCATATTCCTAAAATGATGTAAATGATGTAATTAATGAATAAATTTAACCACACCAAATATATAAGTTCTCACCATCCATAAATCCAAACAAATTCAAAATCAATCAATCCACAAATTCAAACTTTCCAAAATAATCAAAATGTTAAAACAATAATATTTTAGTTCAAAGTTTTTAAAGCTAAGCACAAAATCAAACATCCGGATCGGGAGGAGGAAAACAAGCTCGCATAGCAGCCATTTCGTGAGTGAGTTCATTAATACGCGCGTTGGTTGCTTCATTGTTTGCACGCATCTCCCGAAGAATTTCTAATTGTTGAGCTCCCATTGTGGATAAATGGGACTCTATAGAAGTAAATCGCTAATCCATGGTCGTATATCAGAAATCGAATGTCTTCATAAAGGATTAAAAATATGGAGGCATTTGATGCGTTTGTTGTGCTTGCTCCTCGGGCTGCTCAGGCTCATCTTCGGCTTCATCGGTGTCTCGCATTAATTGTTGAAGCTCGGGATCGTCATCAACTTCTGGTTGAGCTCGTGAAGAACTAGCTCCGGAGTATTTTCAGATGATCGAACCCATTCACGGTTTCCTTATCCTTTATCCATCCCGCTCTTGTTAAAGAAGGAAGATTAATTTGTTTCTTTATAGGAAAGGAGGCATCTAGACCTACTCTAAGCCCGGCTTTAGAAAATAGATTACTCAAAATGCAATCGTAAACTAGAGATGAACATAGTTTCTTGTTAGGAACAAGATTTACGGTTTCAACAATTTTAGCAAAAATGATCTGAGGTAGGTTTATTTTTAATATTGTTTTCGAAACAATGTAACCACCAAAGATCCAAGGCTCTAAGAGTAGAATAACGAC